TATATAAAGGGAGACTATGACGTAGTTAAACAGAGTCATGTGACCATGTGTCCTTCATCCCCTTAAACGTGTGCCGTCTAAAGCACGTGTCCAATTGACAGGGTTTACAAACACACACACCCACACACACACCCTCACACCCACACACAGATATATATATATATATATATATATATATATATATATATATATATATATATATATATATATATATATATATATATATATATATATATATATATATATATATATATATATATATATATATATATATACATACATACAGACCCTGAAACGTGCTACTACCCCACACGCACGCTACACAAACGGTACACGCTCGCTACACGGTTTGCACGAAACGCTGCACGGTTTACACGAAACGCTACACGGTTTACACGAAACGCTTTGCACGAAAGGCTGCACGGTTTACACGAAAGCCTGCACGAAACGCTTTGTACACGTTTCTCACACGCTTTGTACACGATTCTCGCACGCTTTGGCCTCGATCTGGATTTTCTATTCGGAATCTGTCGGACATTATTTCAATTATTATGGATTAATCAACGAGTAGTTAAGAATTACAATCATTCAGATTAAGTTAAGATTAAAAACTCGCTACACCAGTACTATTTTAACAGACAAAATACTCAATGTTCATTTGTAATTAATTGATAGTTGTCATTGAGTATGTGACCCGCCCGCGGCCGGCGAAATGCTTATCATCGTCAAACTTTTTTCACTAGACTCTAAATTACGCACTGAAAAAAATAATTTTATTTGTAATTCATAATCTTTTACAGCATTTAATGTTTTTACAATTATAGTTTGATATTAAAAAGTCGTTCCATTACTGACTTTATTACTGACAAATAAACTCAGTTTCACAGTTATATTTGAAAAAAAAAATTATTGATTAAATTGCGTATGATTTCTGTAAACGGATTGATTTTCTTTTCCTTTTTTTTATTATTGATTGATTTATACATTTTTTTTTGATTTAGTAAGAAAATAATTTCATTTGATTAAATTAGGCTCTGTTTATAATTTGCAAATATAGTATGTGCACTGCATCAAACAGGAAAATTTTGCAGGAAGGGGGGGGGGGGGAGAGAGATTACCGAGACCTTACTGTTGTATCTTCAAATCTGTACATGGCTAAATATAACGGGCACTTGTTTCAGAAAGTAAACAATCGGGAAAAAAATTATTATAGAAACAAGTGCCCGTTCTTAGAAAAAAAAAGATGTTCATGTCTCCAGCGGGACCCGATACATGTAATTCATTAATATGCACTTTATTCAGAATGGTAAATATATCGCTTCATTACAGAGTTAAACTTTAATTTATAATTAAAATCTTATATGGTAGAGAAGCCGGGGGGGGGGGGGATATGTATTGTAATTCTTTCGTTCTCTTTTCCGGTATTGTTTATCAAATATCAATGTACCCATCACCTTTTAAAACCCCGTTAAGAAAAAAAAAAATCAAAAATTATGTAATCAATAGTCGCGGCTCTTAACAATACATTCAATATATATGTATACATGTCCTATGTCCTAAAAACTAAAAAGAAATACGCTCTAGAACTGCGTGATTAATAAGAACAATAAATATATAATTATATAGGATTTATTTCTTTATATTATTTTATTCACGAATACACTGGCAAATTAATTCACTGTTTACAGACAATCGAATAAATTTAAGAAATAAAATCAACGTTTATTACCGTTTAATTAATCGATCGTTATTGTCGGGTGTCATCTTAGCTATGATTGACAAGAGATAATAGCAGAACAAGTTTTCAGTCCCGGCACGCGGAGTCCGCGATCGCTATTGTAAATGACCTTCATCACAGTCGTAGAAGAGTGTTGAAAGTGTAAAGATTTTTAAGGGTGCATCGGGCGCACCCCATCGAAAAAAGCAGTAATTTTCTTACAAAAGAAAATTATCAATAAAACACTTGTTTCCAATAAAAACTCAATTTGTGTTTTCATTTGAACCCCCCCCCCCCTCTCCTTGAAATATTTAACCTTGTATTTGCCGATGCATGTGAATTATAATTCATTTATATGACTTTTATTAATCAACCGATTTTATGCAGAAAACGACAATAAATGACTCATCGTTTGCAAATTATTTGTATCACAATCTTGTTATATAAAAAAAACTATGTTCGTTTAGAAAGAAAATCAATGAACTGTGCTCCCCGGCCTAGAATTCCTATACTTCACATTTATAGCAACACATTAAATTTTGCATTTTATTTCTCACGCCTGCCATACATGTATCTGTATTATTTTGTATTAATCACCAATATGTTCTTGTAATCTCTATATCCCATGTACAATGGTGAAGATATTCAAATAAATGAATGAAAAAGACAAGACCGGATTCCTAGTGAATTTTCTTTTAAAAAAATATTTAGTATTGCTCCCTTTAAAAAGTGTATTGAATCAATTGCCTTAAAATTGATGTGCAAATAAGTAATTACTTTTAACACATTTTCTGTCCATCTTTATTTAAATAAATAAATAAATAAATAAATAAAGAAAATCAAACAAATATGTAATACATTACCGAATAATTTTATTTTGTTGTTTCCGTATTTTTTTTTTTCACTCTTAAAATACCACCGGTATGATATATCCGAATAATACAATAATACAATGCTTGGTACCAAGCAAAACAAATCAGTTCAAAGTATGTACACCTGAAGAAGGATTGTTAAATCCAGAAAGCGCTTGTGTTAAATGAAATTTGGAAACTGTGCATTTTCTTTTTCTTTTATAATTATTTTTACTGTGTGACATCATCTTTTAACTACTTTTGAACTATATATATATACAATATATATATATATATATATATATATATATATATATATATATATATATATATATATATATATATATATATATATATATATATATATATATATATATATATATATATATATATATATATATATGTGTGTGTGTGTGTGTGTGTGTGTGTGTGTGTGTTTATACATATTTATCTTATACGTGTGGTTGATACTACACATAAGATAAACCTATGTGCTTTATCTCAAAGTCCTTTTTATGCATGCTTTATCAACAGCACTCCCGGTTTTGACACAATCCATGGATCTACAGTGGATCCACAAATAGCCCATCACTGTCGTCGTACAAAGAATGACTTCAGAGTAAGATTCCAGAACCTTCGATCTTTACAAATTCCAAGCCAAGAGTCTGTATGAAATAAATCACCAACAGATTGTTACATATGTTATAAAAGACGCAAATATCATTCAAGAATTCATATTTTGTACATGATCTATTTTCTTTCGTTATGTCAACATCAACAGTGCAACGTCATCAATTTTTGCGTCAAATATTTAGATGGAATCCTTCATAGTTTTTAGCGGAGTTATTTCAAAGTTTTGCTAAAAAGAAATTTGTAAGAGATAAAAAAAAAAAAACTATAATTGTGTGATTTGATATTTGCATCATCCAACTTGTTAAATGGTGTTTATTATCTGGACAAAACTTGCTAATGTACACTTTTTTCAACTTGTTTGATAGAGGAAATCTCAAATCACAGTATAACTCTCTCTATATATTTATATAAATAAAATGTTTAAAATTTCTGAAATTTGAAATATTCTCAAATTTGTTTAAATCATGACAAACATGTATTTGATTGATATGATAGTGTGTAAAGTTGTTTTAAAAAATCGAGAATTTTCACTCATATAGAGACGTCACCATATATTAGTGAAGGGCTTCAAATTTTAACCTTTAGTCGGCACTCAGGGCCATTTAGCAGTGAGGGTTCTTTATCGTGCCAACGTCTACCGTGACACGGGGCGTTGGTTTTTAAGGTCTCATCCGAAAGACCCACAACTTTCATTCCAAAGTGCCGAGCGCTTGGCGAAGGAATAGTTGCTACCTATTTTTCATCGATTAGGTCAGTAGCGGACCTGATTCGAACACACGATCTTCCGATCACGGAGCGAGCGCTCTACCGATTGAGCTAATGCGGGTAATATATATTTGAAACCAATTGTATACATACTTTTTTAAATGATATGACATATTAGTGAAGAGCTTACTCTAAACTTATGTTTTGCACTTTATATATAAAAGTTATGTTGCAATTTTACTTTTGTAGTACATAATTGAGGTTAGAAACTTGTGTTTTGTAGTGCAAGTTTGTTGAGAGAGAGAGAGAGAGAGAGAGGGGTGGGTAATAATATGACTGTAGGGTTAAAAACATCCATTTCTATGTCAACCAGTAACATCGATTATTTTCCATGGGGCTTTAGGAACAAGAACAAAAAATATTTCACAAGCAAAGTAAAAAAAAAGAATCTTTAAATTGGGAGGGGTTGGATTTCACTCAATATTGTCAGAAAAAGAATTTGGTGAATGATCGTGTGAGGATTCAAACATACTACAAGAAAAGTGGGATGGGGTGCTAAGATGAAAATTATACGGTATTAACAGACTGGTAGAGTTTTCTCAGAAAAAAATATTGCTGTACCTCAAGAAAGGTAATGTGTGTTTTAAAAATTTGTTTGAAAAAATAATATGAATTGGATAACAGGAATGACAGAAAATGATCGACAAGTTTGCACTTACAGTTGCGCAAAGTTGTTTTTCAGAGGAGGAGACTAGATGTCGCTCAATGATCACGGTATTTTAGGCTTACAAACCTCTCCATATTTAATTTTTTTTCTATTCAATCTTTTAATTGATCGGTGGGTTGCTATTTTCATTCTTAAAAAAAAGTTTATTTAAGTAAAATATACACGTATAATGATTTAAAAAATGGTTCAGATATTTATCATTTTATTTTCCAAAACATTGACATCATTTATCTTTTCTGCCTAGGTTTACCACAAAATAAATTGAACGAGGAAATAATTCAAAAACGCATTGATTGGTGGATGTAGGTACTCTAACTGTATAAAAGGCATCAATCTCGACCATCTCGTTATCTGACCTACATCAACATGGGAAAACTTCTCGTTGTATTGACTCTTCTCTGTCTGGTGGCCCTGACGACCGGTGAGTGTACTTTCTACTTTTTACTCCCCCCCCTCTCCCCTCTCACTCTCTCAAAATTGTTTTTTTTTTCACAGTTAATCACATTTTTAGGTCAATTTTAGAATTTATATTAATCCTGCAAAAACAAAATTAAGTTAGAACTCTTAAGTGCTACATATAGAGAGCCAATGATTGACAATGTTGATTTATAGTATCAGTGACAAGTTCATGTTGATCTGAATGCTGTAAATCTTTTTATTATTATTTGAAAGAACTCTTTTCGGGAAATTTGTGCGCTGAAGTATGTTCGCTACAATCTCATTCTCGTGCATAATTAAAATTTTAAGGATTATATTAAACTAAAACTAGAATAAAAGAAAATGTTTTGTCGCTTAAGGCCGGTTTACACTATGCATCTTGACAATTGCATCTAAACTCATGCTCCACATATTTCATGCTTCTATTTTGCCTCATTCATCCTGTTATTTCGACTATGTGTCTTGGCACGATGCATACTTTATACATACTGTATGAAGTTTTATCCGCTAAAAAAACAAACCCATCAATATCCGTTTCTAGATTTATCTTAGCTGAGCGAATCATTCCTTATTTCTTTTCTACGATAATTCTGGGAAGATATAATTACCGAAGTACTCCTCTTCATGATAATGATCAAATCATATTTTCTAATTGTAGTTTTAATCTGTATTTTCTTTGTTTTGGTTCTTTTGGTATGCAATTTTTGCTACTATATGAAGGAAAATAAGACTTATGATACAATCTTAACTCTGACCTCTTTTTTCAGTGGTCAATTCCATGCATCTTGACACATGGAATAGAACAAGTTCTATTCCATCTGTCAAGAGACAGCACCTAATAAATATGACACAAGGGGTATTTACACTGTGAATTTAAATGCATGTGTTAATTATAGTTTACTATAATATTTTTTTTTGTTAGAGTTATATTAAACAAAAACTAGAATTTGTGAAAAATTTGTCTCGATTATACATGCAATTATACTATATTGCGAAAAATAAAGTGCTGCGAAAATATGGTGATTTACAGCATTTGAATTATGACCCAGAAGTGTTTATGTTAGCGAATTGTTAAAAGGTTATATGAACTTGAGATAAAAGATACCACAGAGTCTGACACATCTGTTTCATATTTGGATATTTTACTTGAAAAAGACGTTAATGGTAATCTAACAACCAAGCTTTATGATAAACGTGATGACTTTAACTTTTCAATCGTCAACTTCCCTTACTTATGCAGCAATATACCTTCATCACCTGCATACGGGGTATATATCTCTCAGTTGATTCGATACGCAAGAGCATGCTCTACGTATGTACAATTTCTAAAACGAGGTAAATTACTGACAAATAAGTTGATGAAACAAGAATATCAGCTGCTTCGTTTAAAGTCATCATTTCGTAAGTTCTATGGTCGATACAATGACCTTGTCAGCAAATACAATTTATCATTGAGTCAAATGCTGACTGACGTTTTTACACTAATTGTTAGGCCATTATTTACACACTGAATTGTTGACGGATTTTTCCGTTATTTCCCGATCATGACAAGGAGCACACGGCGGGTGTGACCGGTCGGCAGGGGATGTTCACTCCTCCATGGCACCTGATCCCACCTCTGATGTTTTGGAGGTCCGTGTTTGCTCTGCTCCTATTTTGTATTGATTAATGGACTTTTGAGCTTGAATACTGTTCGTTATCTCCATATATTTCATGAAGCCATTAATTTTAATGTTTAACTTTGATGCAAAATACGAATTCTCTGAAGGTAACATAACGCGTTCAGCACTTGAGTCAACATTTTAATCTGTAGATCGAATTATAATAAATGATGGAAGATTTTGAAAAGTTAATATTAATTCTAACTTTCTTAATTTCAGCTTATCCTCCTTACGAACAGCAACAACACCACTATCGTCGCAGCTGTCGTCATGACTTTGATTGTCAATACAGAGAATATTGTAAAATTGTGTCCTTCATCCCCTATAAGCTTGGCTACTGCTGTATGCGCAGTAAGTATCTATTATCCAGATATATTAGTGAATATATACTATGTTGGAACTTTTCATAAAAAATGTCTGTACTAGCTTCTCAATGTTTGAGAAATTCATTGTTATTATATTTCTGCTCAAAGACTTAGGAGTTTTGACTATCACTAGTAAGAAGAGTTATATTGCAGATTCACTGGAATATGAAATACAATTTTAGTTATGTATTTTACAGATTGGAATGGAAGATAAAATTAGGGGAAGAATGGAAAAAGGTAGATGATTGGCTAATTGACAAAACCCCTTGATATTTCAAATAAATTTCAACTTGCAGTGACCAATGTTCAATTAGTTTATAGTTGAAGCATTTGAATAAAATCTTACATCTAATTTCAACTTTTTATTAATAAGATTGTCTATTGCATACTCTATAAGTTCAGACTTAAGGAAAGCTTTAGGTAATTAGCCTTTTACTGGTTAAAATTATTAGGATTTATACTTTTTACGAAATACCTCCATCTGATTGAACGGTTTCTTCCTTTGTTATTTTTTCTTCGACATTGCTCGACACTTGCTGGCTAATTATGTTATAGTGTTCCCGACAAAAGAAATCGTAAAATATTTTGATATCAGCTATCCCCTTCTCAAAATGAGTAGATAAATGATTTTGAGCTGTTTGAATGACAAACATTGATAATACAAATGGAAAAGCTGTTTTGAAAACTCAATTGGAATTTCGAACTACCTAAAATAAACTTTAGTTTTTGGAGGAAAATAACAATAACAACTAGAAAATCTGCTATTGCAATCAATAGCGTATGTCATCCCGAGCTGAACCGTAAGCTGTAAGATCGTAGTGAGTTATCGTAGAAAAAGTCCCCCCCCCTTTCACCCACACGCTATATAAATTATTATCTTGAAGAAAATTATTTTTGAGAGATCTGATTGGAGTAAAGTAAAACTATTACTTTTTCTCTGATATCCTAGGATAAGAAGGGGATCTTCGGTAAAAGACGAAAGATGGACCGACTAGTGTTAATATTTTTATATAGAGTTATTGTTCTTTGTAAAATTGTCAAGATTCAGTTAGAGTTATCTTCCTTGTATGTATGCGCTGCAGCCATTGTGTTGTGTTTACGGTTTTCTCGAGGCAATTGTGGCCTACTACAGTGTAAGTAATAATTTGTTTGTCTTATGCATCAATGTTTAGGTGAGACATGACGAATATAATATTTTCTTGTTAATGCTCTGAATCATTTATGCATATTTTTTGGAGAATAGGATGTAGCATCACTGCCATGCATGTTAGCACGTGGTTGCTGAACCAAACTTTACCAACTTTTAATCATGAGTGCATTTATATGAAACTTTGTTTAAAATATTTTGACAACTTCAGTAAGGAATTTATTGACTGTTAATGATATAATTTGAGTAAGAAATCTTTCAAAGTTTTATTGTAACCAACCCCTGTTTGATATGAAAAAGTATGGAACACAGTTAATGTCAAAAGTAAATTGAATGTATTCTGTATTTGATGTACTATGTAACTTGAGAACATTTTCTTGTAATTTTATTTTGTACTTTTTCAGCTTTTTACCATTTATTACTCAATAAAGGTTATACTGCTGTCTTCGGGACAGTACAATAAAAAGACTACAACTGGCCTACTGTGAATGCCTTCATCACAACATCTCACAGATCACTATGAGTGGAAGTGACCAACCAGATCCAGGATCCGATTCCTTGAAAACTGAAGAGGTTGCAGAATCAACAAAAGGTCAACACTTGGAAGAAAATATTCACAGGAAGGTTACCATGACAGAAAAAGGTTTAAAACAGTTTGAAAGTTTGTGTAATTCTCATGTCAGACAAATAGAAAAGGTATGGAGTGTACTTGAGATTATAATAAAGAGTGTGGAAGAAACATCAAGGAAATCATGCACAATAGAAGAACTTAGCGGTTTACACAATGATATCAACAAACATGTTACCAAGCTAGAATCACAATGCACAAGCTACCTGGACTTCTTGAACAGACAACGTTCTGACCACAGTGACCAAGAAATGGAACGTTTTAACATGACTTTACGAGGCTACAGAATACTGGTGGACTCAACATTGAGGAAGCTGAACCTGAACATCCAAGATCTTCAATTTCAAGAAAATGCGTCACAAGCCTCACGATCCTCGAAATCTTCCAGCCGCAGTCTGACATCTATTGCCACCAAGAAGAGAGCAAAAGCCGAGGCCCTGAAGGCTTCCTTAAAGTTTGCAGAAGATCAGGCAAAATTAGAGAGGAAACAAGCAGAGCTGTCTCTACAACATGCCATCACAGAAAAGGAAAATGCTTTAGTGAACACAGAAATGACATTGTTGAACTTAAAAAGGGAAGCTCTTGAACTTGAAACTGAAGCCAACAGTGGAGAAGGTGAAGAAAGCGATTCTATGAAATCCGCCCTCAAGAGTTTAGAACAGGAAGTAGCGGCAGACAGAACAACTGCATATGTAGAAAATATTCCACCATCCATTACATTTTCTGATCAGCCCAGGACAATTTTTCAAGAACCATTTGCTATTTCCCAGGCTCCTCCACTTGAGCTTTCACCAACATCAAGCCAAAGTACGCAAGTACCAACAAGCCAAAGTACACAAGTACCGACAAGCCAAAGTACACAAGTACCTACCATGCAAAGCACTCAAATTTTACCAAAAGTGGGAACAGCATCAACATTTGTTTCAGACTTCACCAGATACTTATTAAAGAAAGAGTTATTGTTGTCCCGATTAACAAACTTTAATGACAAACCCGAGTTTTACCCCACATGGAAAAACAGTTTCAAAGCAATTATGCATGAACTACAAGCTTCACCAATCGAGGAGATGGATCGTCTTGTAAAATGGACAGGCCCCTTGTCGAAACGCCATGTCTTGAGTATCAAGGCTGCCAATTCTAATAATCCAATTGAAGCATTGACAAGAAGTTGGAACCGTCTTGACGAAAGGTATGGGCGTCCGGAAATGATGGAAGCAGCTTTGAAGTCTAAGTTAGCCTCATTTCCAACTTTGACCAACAAGGATCTTAATCGCCTTTATGATTTGTCAGACATTTTAGATGAAATTGAAGCTGCAAAGGAGGACACACAATATTCATGCCTTCTTTCATATTTTGATTGCTCTACTGGCATAACCCCAATAGTCAAGAAGCTCCCGAGTGATCTTCAAGGAAAATGGACTTCTGTAGCCGTGAAACACATGACAGCAAATGGAGTGCCATTCCCTCCCTTCAAGGTTTTTGCAGAATTCATTCGCGAACAGTCGAGAATCAGGAACAACCCATCATTTGCCTATGGTGTGGAAACAAGAGGAGACAGACAAAGCAAAAACAGATTGATAAATGTTTCCTCCAGGAAAACTAAGGTTTTACAATCCACGAGAGAAAACTCCTCAGACAGAAAGTGCCCCCTACATCACACCTTTCACTCCTTGAATAAGTGTAAGGGATTCAGACAAAAATCCTTGGAGGAAAGAAAGAAATTTTTGAAAGAGAACAATATATGTTTTCGTTGTTGTGACTCTAATTCTCACAAGATGCGTGAATGTAGAGCGACTGTAAAGTGTGAAGATTGTGACAGTTTGACCCATCCTACAGCACTTCATGTGGAGATTCAAAACAGGAGGCATTATGGCGGGGAGCCGCAGAATTCATCAGAGGATGTCAGCTCTGCATGTACACAGATTTGTAAAAGACAGTTTGGTGGCAAGTCTTGTTCAAGAACAGTGCTTGTGCGTGTATTCCCAGAAGGAAAACCTCAGCTAGCAGTCAACATGTATGCTGTCATAGATGATCAATCAAATCGTTCACTTGCTAGCCCAAGATTCTTTACCTATTTTGATTGTGGTAGTGATGCCATAACTTACACACTGTCATCTTGTGGTGGTACTATACAAGCATGTGGGAGAAAAGCAGAAGGATTTGTAGCCGAATCATTAGACCATAGTTGTACCCTGAATCTTTCATCTCTCATGGAGTGTCAGCAAGTTCCTTGTGTACGTGAGGAAATTCCTACACCAGAAGTGGCCTCACACTACAGTCATCTGGCTGACATAGCAAACCTTATACCGCCATTGGATCCAGATGCGGAGATCTTGTTACTTCTAGGAAGAGATGTGGTAGAGGCACATCATGTGCTTGATCAACGTATAGGACAAGGCAATCAACCCTACCGACAGAAACTGCATTTAGGGTGGACTATAATAGGAGAGACCTGCCTTGGCAAGACACATGCACCTGCCCACATCACAACTTACAAGACTCATTTCTTGGGATGAGGTCGAGTATCCTATCTTCCACCATGCACAAATGAATTCAAGATAAGCGAAAACCTGAACAGTGTGTCGTATGGCCTTGATGCAGCAAAACTTGCTGGTTTGTGCGAAAATGAAAGCTTTGGTAAGAATGTTTTTGAAAGGACAAAAAATGATGAGAAGCCTGGATTGTCAGTTGATGACATATCATTTCTCGAGATAATGGACAAAGAATTCCACCAGAATGAAAATGGATATTGGACAGCTCCACTCCCATTTAGGCAACCCCGTTTAAAGCTTCCAAACAACAGAAGTCTTGCATTGAGGAGAGCCAAAGCTTTAGAAGTTAGTTTACAAAAAGACACAGGGAAAAAGGAACATTTTCTTGCCTTTATGGATGAACTTATTAAGAACGGACATGCAGAAATTGCTCCTCCTTTATCTCATGAGGATGAATGCTGGTACTTACCTATATTTGGGATATACCATCCTAAAAAGCCCAACCAGTTGAGAGCAGTCTTTGACTCTTCAGCCAAGTATGGAGGGACTTCCCTCAATGATGCCTTGCTTACTGGTCCCGATCTCACAAACAGCCTGTTAGGAGTTTTGATGAGATTCCGCCAAGAGCCTGTTGCAGTTATGGGTGACATACAGCAAATGTTTTATTGCTTCAAAGTGCACGAAGACCATCGCAATTTTCTGAGATTTTTCTGGTTTCGCGACAATGATCCAGCTCAGCCAATGATAGAGTATCGTATGACGGTACATGTGTTCGGCAACCGACCGTCACCAGCAGTTGCCACCTATGGGCTTCGTAGGGCAGCACTCATGGCAGAACCAGATTTTGGTATAGATGTGACACACTTTGTGTTGAACAATTTCTATGTAGATGATGGACTTGCTTCCTTACCCACATCATCAGAGGCTATAGATCTCATGAAGAAGACGCAGGCAGCTTTGGCAAAAGGTGGCTTACACTTTCACAAGATCGCTTCGAACCAAAAGGAAGTCCTAAGCGCCTTCCCGCCAGAAGATCTAGCAAAAGACATGAAAGACCTAGAATTTGGAATTGATCTGCTTCCAATTCAGCGCAGTTTGGGCCTTAACTGGAACTTGGAAACTGACACCTTCTTCTTTGAGGTTATGACTAAAGATAAACCATTCACCAGAAGAGGCATACTGTCATGCATTAACAGCATATTTGATCCTCTGGGATTCTTAGCCCCTGTCGTCATACAAGGAAAGAACATATTGAGGAACTTGGTTCTGGCACTATAGACTGGGATGAACCCCTGCCTGAAGATCAACTAGATACTTGGAGACATTGGAGAGACTCTTTAGTTCATTTAGAAGATCTACATATATCTCGCAACTACTTCCCCGAGTCCCTAAAACGTTGTAAAGAAAAAAGTATACATGTGTTTTGTGACGCCTCAGAACTTGCCATTGCTGCAGCTGGATATATCATGTCAACTTCCTCAGAAAGCAATTGTCACACTGGATTTGTTTTAGGAAATCAAAATTCGCTCCAACACATGACCATTCTATACCAAGATTGGAACTATGTGCTGCGGTGCTAGCAGTCGAGGTTGGATGCTCTATTGCAGATCATTTGTCTCTACAAATCACAGACTTTAAGTTTTATTCTGACAGCAAGGTTGTGTTAGGTTACATTTTCAACACAACACGACGATTTTACACTTATGTAACAAATTGTATCTCCTACATCAGGAAAATGACCAGACCTGACCAGTGGGCTTTCATACCAACTGAGCAGAACCCGGCAGATCAAGCTACACGACCACTGCCAGCTCATCATTTGAAAGACAGCACATGGTTGAATGGACCAACTTACCTGTCTCAGCAAAGTGAAAGTAAACAGCAAGACTTTGAGATAGTGAATCCAGATGGTGATAGAGAAGTAAGGCCTGAAGTTACTTGTAAGAAAACCAACACATTGCTTTCATTGCTCGGATCTCACAGATTCTCTACAGTTTTCTACATGGAAAATTCTTGTGCGTACGGTTGCATTTCTGCAACATGTAACAAGATCATTTGCTGGAGTGAGTGGATGTAGTGGTTGGCATTACTGCACCAAATCACAAACTGTTGAGGCATTTCAAGAAGCAGAGAGATTCATTGTCAGGACTGTTCAACAAGAAGTTTTTACAGAAGAAATTGATTGTCTCAAGCAAAACAAAGCGTTACCTGATTCAAGCTCTTTGCTGTCCTTGGATGTTTTCCTTGACCCAGATGACATTCTCAGAGTTGGAGGACGCCTTAACAGAAGTAACATGCCACGATCCGAGATAAACCCTATTGTGGTCCCAGGAAAGCATCACATAGCTACTCTTCTTGTCAGGCATTTCCATGACATGGCCCAGCATCAAGGTAGACATATTACTTCAGGAACCATAAGAAGTGCTGGATTTTGGATTACTGGTAGCAAACGCTTGGTATCAACAATAATCTACAATTGCGTAAAATGCAGAAAACTGCGTGGAAAGTTTGCATGTCAGAAGATGGCAGATTTGCCTCTAGACCGTCTAGAACCAGGTCCACCGTTTACGTACGTCGGAATAGATACTTTTGGCCCCTGGGAAGTTGTTACCAGGAAAACTAGAGGTGGCGCTGCTAACTCTAAGCGATGGGCTATTCTTTTCACATGTCTGGTTAGTGAGGTGTGCATATTGAGGTTGTTGAAGAAATGTCATCATCATCATTCATCAATGCCTTCAAACGCTTTGTTGCCATAAGAGGAAAAGTGAAACAGATACGCTCGGACAGAGGAACAAACTTTGTTGGGGCCACAGATAACCTTCAGATCAATGCAGTGAATGTTGAAGATGGGCCCTTGAAGGAATACCTATATAACAGTGGAGTTGTGTGGCTCTTCAATCCACCACACTCCTCTAATTTTGGTGGCGTATGGGAACGCCTTATCGGCGTGACGAGGCGTGTCCTTGATTCCATGCTTTTAAACATACCTCCAGGGAGTTTGACACATGAAGTTCTGACTACCTTTCTTGCGGAGGCATCGGCCATAGTAAATAGCCGTCCATTGGTACCTGTGTCCACAGATCCTGATGACCCTCTTCCTTTGAGTCCTTCATTGATCCTCACTCATAAACCAGTCAGTACTGTTGATCGTGCACCTACTGATAGAAAGGATCTCCTTCGTTCACAATGGAGAAGAGTGCAGCAATTAGCAGACACCTTCTGGAAGAGATGGAGATCCCAGTACCTTCAAACGTTGCAAAACTACAGGAAGTGGAAGCATGAAAAACGCAACTTGGCAGTTGGAGATGTAGTCTTGCTGAAGGATAATTCTGTGACACGTAACTCGTGGCCTATGGGTAGAGTCATCAGGGTATTTCCTAGTGTTGATGGAAGGGTACGAAAAGCAGAAGTTCGTGTTTTGTATCGTGACGGACATTTTGCATTATTTGTGCGACCTGCAACTGAACTAGTTCTTTTGATTCAAGATGTGTGAATTGTATTACTATGTACACCAAAGCCTTTGTTCGAACTGACGTATAATCTTTGAATATCAGACGCATGTCACTTACCATATTTTCCTAGTCACTGTAAGTGTATTTTTATAGTCATTTTATGATTTTTAGTGATGTTTTTATAACATCAGACGGGGAGTGTACCGACTAGTGTTAATATTTTTATATAGAGTAATTGTTCTTTGTAAAATTGTCAAGATTCAGTTAGAGTTATCTTCCTTGTATGTATGCGCTGCAGCCATTGTGTTGTGTTTACGGTTTTCTCGAGGCAATTGTGGCCTACTACAGTGTAAGTAATAATTTGTTTGTCTTATGCATCAATGTTTAGGTGAGACATGACGAATATAATATTTTCTTGTTAATGCTCTGAATCATTTATGCATATTTTTTGGAGAATAGGATGTAGCATCACTGCCATGCATGTTAGCACGTGGTTGCTGAACCAAACTTTACCAACTTTTAATCATGAGTGCATTTATATGAAACTTTGTTTAAAATATTTTGACAACTTCAGTAAGGAATTTATTGACTGTTAATGATATAATTTGAGTAAGAAATCTTTCAAAGTTTTATTGTAACCAACCCCTGTTTGATATGAAAAAGTATGGAACACAGTTAATGTCAAAAGTAAATTGAATGTATTCTGTATTTGATGTACTATGTAACTTGAGAACATTTTCTTGTAATTTTATTTTGTATTTTTCAGCTTTTTACCATTTATTACTCAATAAAGGTTATACTGCTGTCTTCGGGACAGTACAAAAGACCTTAATTTAAAGAAAGCAAGGTTCACGTCAAAACATGGCCGAAGGAAAATAATTCCTGAATATTCCTCTTCAATTCGGGAATTTTTATAAAGGAAAGGGGCTAATATTTTTTATATCTGTGTATTGACCTAGCTGTCTTTAAAAGGGGGAGGGGGAAACTATGACATCGTCTTTTATATTTAAAAAAGAGGGAAATAAAAATAAAATGCGCCTAGCAGAAATATACCATTTAAGACCCTTTTTATTTAATAGAAATTCGTTTCTATGGCATTAGGAAGGTTTTCCGTCTCCTCACTGTAACTAGAGAAGTTTTAACTCGACACTTCGTTCCATGTGTATTGATACGTTTCAGTTCCCGTAAACATAAATGAAAATAAAATGAATAGTTTGTAGTGTTTAAGAAACGTTAGTCCTACGTTTTTTTTTTTGTTTTTTTTTTGTTTTTGTTTTTTTTCTTTGAAATGCTAAGATATTTTATTTCTTCTTAATCATATCAAGAAACTGGTAATATATATAAGCTGACTAGATTTGCCTTTACGTACCCAAGGAATATTAGGAAAAAAGAAATGAGGAAGACAGTGAAAAAGAATAATTTAGAGCTTTAAAAAGATCAAGCCTAAAAGTGTATACAAGTGCAAATATGAATTTTTCAGTTTTTAAATTTTAAACATTCTTTGAAAATTTAATATATATCCGCACAACTGTAGGTGTTGACCGTAATTTCTGTGAAGTTTCATAAAGATTTTCTAAGCCTTCTACGAGAACGCTCCAAGACAAAAGTAAGGTGAATAAAAAAACAATTAGTGATTCCGACTTCCTTCCGCTGACTATCAATTCCATTTCATGCAGAAACCACTTTAATACATTGAAAGGATTAAACCAATAAAGTTTTGAAAAGTTTACTTTGTTTGTTACAGAGAAAAATGAATTTAAAAAAAAAATGATATTTTTCTTGTTTCCAAAGCAACGATAGGCATTTAGAAATTTATGAATGTTGACTGAACAAATAGAGTGTCTAATCATAATGTTTGTAAATTTTCATCACAATTTTCCAAGCCACCTCGGAAAACATCTGTGTGTATATTAATTTTTTTCTGTTTCTTTCATTCCTATGGCAACTGTTTGCAAAAGATTCTAATTTTCAAAATAGAATATTCTTTGACAGAATGTAAGGAACAATCTGCACAAGTTTCAAAATAATTGCCTGAGCAGTTTGTGAGAAAATCAAAGTTTAGCAATTTTTACTTTTTTTCTGTTTCCATGGCAACGATGGGTGGTGTAAAAATTTTAAATACGATTTGCAAAACTACAATTGCTGGTTATTATTTCTATAAAGATTCATTACAATTGTATAAGATATCAGCGAGAACACTTTTTAGCTCACCTGAGCCGAAGGCTCAAGTGAGCTTTTCTGATCACATTTTGTCCGTCGTCCGTCCGTCCGTCTGTCCGTCTGTCTGTCTGTCTGTCCGTCCGTCTGTAAACTTTTCACATTTTTGACTTCTTCTCAAGAACCCCTGGGCCAATTTTGACCAAACTTGGTACAAAGCATCCTTGGGTGAAGGGGAATTTAAATTGTTAAAATGAAGGGCCAAGTCCCCTCACAAGGGGAGATAATCAAGAGAAGACAAAAATAGGGTGGGGTCATTAAAAAATCTTCTTCTCAAGAACCACAGGGCCAGTAAAGCTGAAACTTATATGGAAGCATCCTGGGGTAGTGTAGATTCTAAATTGTTCAAATCATGACCCCCGGGGGTAGGGCGGGGCCACAATGTGGAATCAATGTTTTACATAGAAATATATAGGAAAAATCTTTAAAAATCTTCTTCTCAAGAACCACTGGGCCAGAAAAGCTGAAACTTCTGTGGTCACATCCTGGGGTAGTGTAGATTTTAAATTGTTCAAATCATGGCCCCAGGGGGTAGGGCGGGGCCACAATAGGGAATCAAAGTTTTACATTGAAATATATAGGCAAAATCTTTGAAAATCTTCTTCTTAAGAACCACTGGGCCAGAAAAGCTGAAACTTATGTGGAAGCATCCTTGGGTAGTGAAGATTCTAAATTGTTCAAATCATAGCCCCTGGGGGTAGGGCGGGGCCACAATAGGGAATCAAAGTTTTACATTGAAATATATAGGCAAAATCTTTGAAAATCTTCTAATTAAGAACCACTGGGCCAGAAAAGCTGAAACTTATGTGGAAGCATCCTTGGGTAGTGAAGATTCTAAATTGTTCAAATCATAGCCCCTGGGGGTAGGGCGGGGCCACGATAGGGAATCAAAGTTTTACATTGAAATATATAGGCAAAATCTTTGAAAATCTTCTTCTTAAGAACCACTGAGCCAGAAAAGCTGAAACTTATGTGGAAGCATCCTTGGGTATTGTTGATTCTAAATTGTCCAAGTCATAGCCCCCAGGGGTAGGGCGGGGCCGCAATAAATATTACAAAGGGGAGGTCTTGTGAAGAACAGCAGGGCAAAAGTAACTCAGGTGAGCGTTGTGGCCCATGGGCCTCTTGTTTACAAAATTCTTCACTTTTCGTAGGTTTCCATGGCAACGGTAACCATGTTGAAACTGAAATTTTTTTCCGCATATATACAGCTGGTCATCATCTTTTACGGAAAGTTCCAGCAACAATGCCACAGCCATCAGCGAGAGAGCCCCGGACAACGTTTTCATGCGTACAGTAACAATATGTCCCCCGAATTTGTTCGGGGTGACATAATTACTAAGTGACAAGGTACGATCTTCTTCTCTGTGCATCGGACATACAAATTGTGTTTTCAATGTTGTCCCCCCCCCCCCCCCCAAAGATTATGGCGAATATTTAGGATATCGGGAAAAGGTGAAGAAAACGAACACTGATCGACTTCAGAAAAAAATCTACAAAGAATACAAATCTGTGGACAGGGCATAAAACACCGATCCTGGAAATTCAAGAGGTGGGATCCGGTGCCTTTGAGCAAGCATCCCTTTTCGACCGGCCACGCCCCATATATTTATCAGGTAGACGGAGTATACCACATTCAAATTTAGTTTTAAAAATGAAGGCAGAAAAACAATCTGTAGAAGATTTGTCAGTCCATTATACTTTTAATATCAACTTCAGAGTACTTGATGGTAAAATCAGAGTAATTTTGAACAAAGTTGTTTTGTTTATCACCAATCACACAATATGAAATTTTGATTTTTTTTTTTTTTTTTTTTTTTTTTTTTGATTGAAGAAGCAGTTATCTTTGATATCAGAAAGCTTGTTTTTAAATTTATCGTAAAGAGCGGTTGCATACAGTGTATCGAAGTCATCCGTTTTGATCATACTGACTTTAAAAAAAAAATGGGATTAAATTTTGTAAAAGTTCTTTGGAGTCTGAAGTTTCTCATTTACGGCAGTTAATCTCTTTTGAGGAGTAAAGATGGTGGCTTGATAGAGCATTTGCTGGACCCAGCTATGTATCTTTGTTTGTAAGGATTTTTACGAAGATTAGGAATCCAGTTAAGGTAGAATAGGTCGGACTGAAATTTTTTGACTGTAATGATAAAAGTATTGAAGACTGGAATGTGATTTTGAAGAATTCCATCCTGAGAAAATAAACTGTGAATATAAGTTGGATTTCCAGGTGTATAATTAAAACTCGGTTCTTCTATATTTCAGTTATGATAATAAGTGCTTCTTGGATTTTTTTTTCTTATGCATGTTTTAACTGTAGTTTACTGTTGAATAAACATTTATTGTTTGATAGTGGCTGCTAATCGTGACTACTAGTTTATTCAAATGATGTTTATTAATAGTTTATTATCTGGAAAAAATAGTTTCTGTGAAGCATAAAGCTTGCTATCTTTAATTCAAAAAAATATTTTGCCATAATTAATTGCTTTTTCGGAAAAAAAAAATCTGAAAAGCAGGAAGTTTCAATTGTTTCGAAATATAATTTATTGAATTATATGAAGTATTGTGGTATCGTAATTTAGCGGATTATAAGACATGTTATCAAATTGTCATAATTTAGAGTAGTCATTATGATGTGGAACAAATAGGTTGGTCCTAAGATAGTTTTTATTTTCAGATAGACATGCCGTACCGACCAAACGTACCCTAACACCCAAGCAGTCAAAAAAGTCATAACAGTTTAATGGACTGTTCAGGAACAGTTTTTTAATATTTTGGACAACCTTTGGACTTCTCTGGTATTGCTGTTGGTCCGCTCTGGAACTCTTCTTGATCAGCATAAAAATCCTTACAAACAAAGACACATATGGGATCCAGTAAATGTTCCACTGGTTTTTGGAATCTAAGGGGGAAATCATTACAGTAGCATATATATATATATATATATATATATATATATATATATATATATATATATATATATATATATATATATATATATATATATATATATACGAGGGGTGATCAAAAAGTTCGCGAACTAATTGAATAACTTCCTTAAAAGAAATAAAATGAGGTTTCAGTGTTCATTATTTTTTTAAGTAGTCTTCTCGGATTTTAATGCACATCTGCCATTGTTCTACCCATGCGCGAATCACGTTATCCAAGCGGTCACGTGACATGCTTCGTAGCGGTCTGTTCACAGAAGGTAAGATATTTTTCCGAGTCTTATATTTCTTACCATGCAAGTACTTTTTTATAACAAGACCAGACCATCTGTCAGAAATGGCCAAATCTCGGCAATAGGATGGATGGATAAGGATATCCCTTCTCAGAATTACCATGGTGACCATCACAACCCGAGTCCTCCGTCTCGAAAGCGTTGTTTATCCAATGTGGAAAAAGTATGGGCGTCTTTTCTTTTTTTCATATCTCATATGTTTAGAGTCTAAAGTAAACGATATTTTAGGAATTTAATAATTATATTATTGCTCACATATTCAAC